ACACACACACACACACACACACACACACACACACACACACACACACAGTGGATAAATCTCTGTCAGTTATTAAAGATCAGCTCAACTGGGGATGCTTGCATGACGAGTATGTCACAAAGTGATGAGTCAGTCAGAGAGCACATCTCCAGGGATTAAAACACTAAGTTAGATTTTACAACAACATGTTTACATGGTTCCCATTGGAGGATTTAAAAAAAAAAAAAAAAACAGTATTTGAGTCTTAAAGATATTTGAACTGATTATTGCAAACTTAAGTTTCCCTGCATTACAGTAAATATTTACCTTTGGTTACTTGGATTTTAGTTTATTTTTTAACTTGGTCGAGATAAAAGTGTTCACTGACCGTAAAATGTTGAATTTTTGATTAGAAATATGATAATTGCCTTTTTTTATTTTAACAATAACATAAACACAATATTAGTGAAAGGACAAACATGTACAGATTTAGGTGAAAATGGAGTCCTGTTTTTACCTCATTTAAAGAAAAGCATTCAGTTTGGTTTGTTGGGTCTGTTGTTTTTGTTTGTTTGTTTGTTTGTTTTGTTAGCACATTCTCTGGAAGAAAAGTCAGTCTATTGTTTTTTCACAAACAGTCCCTTTAACGTGCTCGTGTGACCGAAATTAATACCTCGATAATTTTTAGATAAATCGTGATATACGATATATATCTCAATATTTTTTTCCTTTCCATAAAGTAATAAAAATATATTTGAGTCAAAGTTGTGTCCCAATTGTCACACGACCCTTGAAGGGGAAGTTTTTATTGCATTTTGTGTAAATTGTGCCACTTTCATATTCTCTTAACGAAGACTAGTTTTCCTCCACCCTGGATTAAACCAACATATTTTTTTTGGTCAAGTTTCCTGATTGGTTACATAAAACATTTACACTTTACTGATGGTTGGTAAAAGATTCTTGTCCTTTTTACCATGAAATCAGAATAAAAATGAAAGTGTGGTTAAACCAAAACAAGAAACTTGCGTTGCACTTAACATTCTGTTTTGTTGCTTAACCTAAAAATATTGATCTTTATAACATGTAACAGCTTCTTAAGCCCACAAATCAAAGCAAACCCAATTTAGTGCACATGAGTTAATAAAGACTGTGCACGCAGCTTCCCGTTGTTTCAGTAGCAAAATGAGCTGATAAGTTTTCACCAGAGCAATTCAAAATCATCACTTTTATTGTTGAGCCGTTAAATTGTTGCTTTCTTTATGCAACTTTTTATTTAAGTGTGATTTGTCTTTAAATCTTCCAGAATTTTCACATTTTTTCTAACATACTTGGAGCAAATGTTTATAAATGCAGAAGAAAATCTATCGAAGGCCTCGAAAAGTATCAGTCAGATACAGTGGGTTCTTATAACGAATTAATAACTAGCTTTAATAAAAACAGTCACTTAAGCAGTGCAGTTAAAGCTTCCACTTTTTATTTTTATCTTTAGGTCATAAATCGCCAAAAGATTTGTTTATTTTATGGTTAGTTTTTGAGACAAATGCAACTTAATTGAACTTACTTGAAACATTTTCCACAGTTGAGTCCATTAAGTGTCATGTACAAACAAAAGTAAAAAGTTTGTGCAGAGTGAAACGAGTTGCTCTGAATACGTTTCTTGTACAGAACTATAGTTTATCTCTTTTGCCCAACACTTAAAAATATCTAAACCCATCATGCAACATATACCAATATATTAATACAGTGTACAAAATTAAAGCGCTGAAAAAAATCCCAATTGTGAAATTCTTGTAAAACGTGTGGCTCTTTACAAACTGTATTAAGCAGGAGAGTTGGTTCTCGTAAAGGTTGCAGAGCCCCGTTTCTTGTGAGCCACAACATGAGGTGATAAACAAGGTAAACATGTGCTAAACCTAATCATCTCTTTAACCTCTGACTCCGCTCTAGTGACGGTGTTGGTCTTCTGATTTTAGGCTTTAGCTCACAGCCAAGCTGAGCGCAGAACAGTGGAGCTGCTGTTTTTAGTTGAGGCTCCTGATTTAGCATCGATTAAAGACGGGCAGTGCGCGCCTGGAGGGTGTAGATGATTCCAAATTACGTAAGCTGTGAATATTTAGGCCTAAACAAACTTAATGCTAACTCATTATGAGCAACACAAGCGCACACAATCACAGTGTTGCCGAGATGGCAGCTTTGACACTAAATTTAGTTTCTCCTCAGCCCCTTTCACTTTTCTTTAGCTGCCACCACACCAATTTTCAATTTGATTCACTTCACTTTATTTACATGGCACCCAGTCACAACAGAAGTTTCGCTCTCATCTTATGTCTGGGCACTGCAACATTCACGTAAAAAGTCGGTTAATAATAGCGTTATTTATCTGAGGAGCTTTCAGATCGCTTTGAGTTTTCACTTCATCACGGTCTCCCATCCTGAGCAAGCCCAAAGGCAACGGTAGAAAAGAAAAACCCCCTCATGAGGAAGAAACTTCCAGCAGAACCAGGCTCGAGACGAGCGGCCGTCTGCTTTGACCGGCTGGCTTTGAGAGGAACAGGAAGGAGAAACTGACACGCAATGGCAGGTCCAGAGTGGAGGCTGGGCTTTCTCTGTGAGGAAAGACAAAAATAACATGTTAAGATAGAAATAATTTAAAATGCAAGCTATTCATTTGTGTGCATTCGTAACTGTTCATTTGATGAAATGAGGTCAGTTTGTCCTCCAGTAGTCTAAGCCTATAGCAGCATAACTAAAGGATAGGTCAGGAAACCTAGCCAACCCTAACTATAGGATTTATCAAAAAGGAAAGACTTAAAACTGGACCATGTGTCAGCCTCGCGGACAGAAACTGGAAGTTGATTCCACAAGAGAGGAGCCTGAGAACTGAAAGATCTTCCTCTTATTTCGCTCTTGGTAACTCTAGGAACCACAAGTAAGCCTGCAGTCTGAGAGCCAAGTGCTCTGTTAGGAATAACAATAAGATGGAGCTAGGTTGTTGATGGCTTTTTTAGGTTAGCAGAATATTTTTAAAATCTGTCCATTGGTTCATAAGACATTTGGCCAATGTTGACAGAAACATACACACAGACAAACATCCCTTTTTGTCCCCCGTCGCAGAGCAATGTTTTTAAAATTAGAAATGTCCTCTGTCCCTCCGTGCACGTTGTGAGTGCGCCACTCGTGTTGCCACGTCCATCCAAGATGGCTGCCGCCAGATTTATGTAAACTGGGAGCTGGATAAGCGATGGACCATCTTAGGTGCAATCTCCCCTCCTGAGCAGCTCGTTGGTGACAAAAGAAAAGCGCGATTCCCTTTTAAGAGGAAGAAACCTCCTCTGATCAGCCATGTAAAGAACACACACACACTAAGGAGTGGTTCGAGAATAATTCAGTCGTTTTTATTTGATTGTTTCTGTTTATTTTTTTTAGATTGAGCTTTAGGTCAGAGTAAGGTTTACAGTGAGTGGTTTTGGTGCACGATGCTCGAGTCGTTAAGGCCCAGTAGCTCATACCCAGCTAGCATTTCTGCAGCCACTGACCTGCACATTTCTCACAGCAGCGCCCCCCACCACCACCACCACCCCCTTCCCTCACCACGCCTGTGTGTTCTGGCAGGCCAGTATGTGCTGACCTACTTTTTACTGTTGTCATTTCACGTACACATACTTTCACACAAGTACATTTTGTTTTCTTGAGTTTGTCACATACCTTGCTGTTTCTCGTCGGTTTAGATTCAGGCTTTCTAAAGGTGCATTGAGACGATCTCTTCAAAGTGAGAACACTTATCGAGTCCTGAAGAGCCACTGACCGTTCCCTCAACCGAACAGAAACTCGTTTTGACTTCGTTGAGTTATTCTGTAAGTTTTAACACGCGATTCAGAACACCTGGTGAATCGTAAGCGCGACAAGAAGTTTCAACGCTTCGCTTTTATGAAGCAGCTAAACGGGTTTGAAGACTTTAAATGACTGTTTACTTAAAGAAGTTGGTTAAAAAATGTTGAAGACCCAGCTTTCCTTGAAGAAATGCATATTACCCGCTTCGTTTCATTCCTGAGATCATCTCGTCTTTAGAAGTGGAGTTGTAGCCGTTTTAGTCGAAACTAATGGACATCTGCGTGATGCATGTGTTGAGAATGACTCTCAGCTACTACCATGCCAAATTTTACTTCATTGTCAAAGAATGGACCAAGTCGTTTCCATTTTTGTGTTTGATGAGGTCATTTAGTTGTGGTGGCCATCTTGAATTGGATTGATTGCAAACGATATTCAGCTGTAGATTCTCTGTTTAGTTTTTGAATGTTTCGTTAAAATCCATCCTGTGGTTCATGAGATATTTTGCTAACACAAACAGACATAGAAACATCATTGTCCACCTTTGCCTTCTTGTGGCAGGAAGATGATGATAAATCTAATGAGGACAACTAATAAAATAGATTTGTTTAACAACAGAAAAACTACAAGTGCTGTAATCACAAAAGACTTAACAGATTAAATTAAACGATAATATTGGAAATCACACATTTTAACGTATTAACATGACTACAGCCATTTCCATTCTCTTTGCAAAATCCACCACCATCTGTGCTTCCTGGTTTCCTTCCTTGACACCAAACCTACCCATCGCTTCCTCATCCCCTCCGTTTCCTTCACCGACATGTCGATTCAGGTCCGCTCTCTCCTCCCTGGGAATACTCTTTTATCACTTCATCCAAATATTTCCTAAATTTATCTTTCTGCTCTGTCACATCCAACCTGTGGAGCATAACCACAGATAACGATTAGCATCAAACTTTCTACTTCTACCTTCAGGCACATCACCGTATCTGACACTCTTTTCACCTCTACTACATTCTTTGCCAACTCCTCCTTCAGGACCACCCCTACTCCATTTCTCTTTCTATCCTCACCATGGTGAAACAGTTTGAACCCTGCTCCATTGCTGCGAGCCTTGCTGTCCTTCCACTTAATCTCTTGGACATGTAAAACATCTACCTTCCTTCTCAGCATCATGTCAGCCAGCTCTTTACCTTTGCCTGTCATTGTCCCCACTTTTAGAGTTACAACCCTCAGTCCTACATTCTTGACTCTTCTCCCTTTGTCTCCTGACACGTTTCCCTCCTTGTGGTCTTCGACTAACAGTAGCACAATTTCTGCCGACAGTCAACGGCACCGGTGGCGGTTGTTGGTAACCCGGGCCTCGACCGATCCGATATGGTTTCACTTTGATGAGCTCTCATTGTAGTTTTGGCAAAAGTGTTTTACCTGGGCTTGGGACTGGCACGAGTTACACTGGCTTGTGCTCATAGTGGTTGTTTTTTTTTTAATTGTTTTGTATTTTAAATCGTATGCAAAATAATGAATTTAAACATATAATTTAGATTTTGACATATCTGCTTCAAAAATCCCTTAAAAGTGAAGAATGATCCTTCATCTGATGGATGACTCAACCCATCGAGTCAGCTCTGTTTAATATCCAGCTTCTTTTCTCCAACATGTTTCCTCCCAGCTGTCCTCCCTGTCTCCCTCGTCACATTCACATTTTTCCCGTTTTCCTCCCTCTCTGTTCCCGTCATTCTCCACCAACGGTTTAAAAGCTATAATTATGAGTAATTTGTATTTTGCCAGCAGGGACGGGTGATGTTGTGAGTCCTGCCTTATTACAACTTTTTTTATGTAAGCAGAAACATCCCATTCAGGCGTCAGAATTATTTTAATATGGAACGTTGTCCTTTTTTTACTTATAAAAATGATTTGTTCACTTTTAAGTTTTACTGATTTCACTCAGTGTTATTAATATTTGTGCTCTGTCTTTATGATTGCCATTGCCAGATGTAGCAGTGTTATTTACTCTGTAATGAAATGCAACAACGTAAATCATTGGATAATTGGAAAATCAAATTCAGTTCATTTCTATAGCGCTAAGTCGCAGCAGAAGTTATCTCAGGGCACTGAACAGAAACATTCATATATATAACAATAATTTAACATTATTTATTTGAGGTAGGGTAGCCAGCAGATTGTGTTGTCTTCATTTTGTCGCAGTCTCCCATCCCAAATATTTTTTTTTATTTTAGAAATTTATTAACTTAATTAAAAACAAAATAACTATACAACAGAAAATATATATACAATCAAAAAATAAAATGAAAGACAGCAGAAGAATAAATCTTATATCTGCCCCTTTTTTCCCAGAATATATTCAAACAAAAGTAATTTACAAAAATAAATAAATAAATAAATCAACAATGACAACGTTGATGGTAGCCATCTTGATTTGGATTGACTGCAAACACTATTCAGTTGTATTATTTTAAACAATATATTAAACATATTGGAAAATAATAATAAATGAAATGACAATATATAAATAATACATTTAAATTATAGATGTAATAATCAAATTATATTCATTGTGTTTTGTTATGTATGTGAAAGCTCCTGAAAGTGGTCCATAGTTTCTCTTTAACGAGTTAGACAGAATGTAATTTTGAATAAAAGACAACTTTGAAAGACATTTTACAATGTCTTCTTTTCCTATTCCATGTATAATTTGAATTATAATGATTTGTAAAGGGTCTTTAAAGATCTTAAATTTAACTTACAGAAACCTGCAGATGTTGATGTTGTTTACAAGTTCAGGCTGAAGCAGCTGTAATCACCTCCCCTTACATCAGAAGATCACTGTAAAATGCTGACGTGAAAAGTAGCGGTCCAGATGTACTCCTAATCTTGATTTGCGTCTTTTCCCCAGTCTGGAGAAGCGGAGACGGGAGCTGGAGTGCCGTTACATCGAGGAGCTGGCTGAGCTGCTGTCGTCCAACATGGGCAACATTGCCAGCCTCAGCGTGAAGCCCGACAAGTGCCACATCCTCAAGAGCACCGTGGACCAAATCCAGCAGATCAAACGGCGTGAGCAGGGTGAGGAAAGGCGCACCCGAAACGTTTAAATGACGTGCGCTGATGTAGATTGGTATGAGATGCGTTTCGCAGCACGTTTGTAGTGATTTGTTTCCTCCCGACAGAAAAAGCAGCTCTCCTTTCTCCAGATGACGATGTGCAGAAGAGCGACATCTCTTCTAGTAGTCAGGGGCTGGTGGAGAAAGAGGCGCTGGGGCCCATGCTGCTAGAGGTGAAGCACGACACAAAACCACCACAACCATCTTAATATTCCCAGAGTCTAACCTCCTCCTCGTCTCCTGCTCACTCAGGCCCTAGATGGGTTCTTCTTTGTGGTCAACCGTGAGGGCCGCATCGTTTTTGTCTCCGAGAACGTTATGGGTTATCTCGGATACACCCAGGAAGAGCTGATGACCTCAAGTGTCTACAGCATCCTCCATGTGGGAGACCACAATGAATTTGTTCGCAATCTGCTGCCGAAAAGCCTCGGTGAGTGAGCGTTTGGAGGTCCGACGCTTTATATTCAAGCTTCGAGATGCCTGTAGCGGTTATGTTTAAAAGATATTTGGTAATTATCGTTCAAGAATCTGGAAATGTCAGTTTCCATGGTAATGAAAAACATTTTGGCAGCTCGTTTTGTGTCTTGGATACAGATAATTTTATTCCGTAAAAGAAAAGCAAGTGGATTTCAGGACCTTTGGGGGCAGGGAGGAGGATGAGTTGTGCAGGTTTTAAATGAAGTGAGGTTTCCTGCTCAACTCAAAGCTGCACAATCAGTTTGGGGAGGAAAGTGTGCAGAGGCAGCACATGCGTGGGTGAATGTGATGAGAAACAATGGCTTTATTCAGTGCCATGAAGTTATTTGACTTTAGAGTTAACTTTTATTAAAGTACAGCCTTGAGAAGAGATTATATTGAATTGTAGGAGGTCTGAGGACAGAAGATAGCGCAGCAGAGAGCAAGGTCACGGTTGTATTTAAAAAATAATCATTTTTTTTACACGTTTTAATTCTGCCACAGCTGTTGGAGGGCCACCCCTTATTTTAGAAAATGTACACACAACTAAACTGTTTTTTGATATGCAGAAAAATGTCATCAGAAGAAATTCTGCATATCTAAAAAACAAACACCAACAACAAAAAAAGAAACGCGTAAATCTGGTCATGATAAAACCCTCAACCTAGGTTAAGAGTTGGAAAATAATACAAACATTAACATTTGAAATGAACAAGGCTGTAGTAACACAAAAACTCCCTCGTGTTTTATGTTAAAACTATGAATCAGCTTGTTTAGTTTTTTCCAAATGTTTTTTAATTAGTGTTAAGATTCTTTAATTCTCACTGTTATTTGAAAATCAGAGAGAGATTAGTGTGTTTGAAAAGAAAAGTGGATGGATGGATGATAATGGATGTATGGATGGATGGATATAATGGATGGATGGATGGATGGATGGATGGAT